TGTTCGACCTTTCCAAGGGAGCAAGGCAACCCGAGCCCTTGGGACACCGCGCAGTTTAGCCGGCCTCAGCAGCCCATATGCTGCTAATCGCAAGCGGCCAGGTCGGAGCGTTCGATTCGATCGCCACAGAGACACGCGCGATTGTCTCCAGCTGCCGAATACGATAGAAGAAGTCGGGCGAATTTTTCGCGGGAATCTCTCGGATCAATAACGGGGCTCGCGAGACCACGGATTTCGCACCTTGTTGCCGATGTGCAGCATCCCGATCCCATTCGCGCCGATCTTCACGAGCTTCAGCATTTTTCTGGTGTTCAGCAGTTCTCGGCTGCTCTCGAGGAAGATCACGGCGGACCAACCGATGTGTGTGGAATTGGAGTTTCTCGCAGGAACCTGGGGGTTGTGTCACTGTCGGCTCTGCTCTCGGAGTCTGCTCTCGGAACACGCCCGCGTACGCACGCACACGCTCTCGGAGGAAAACAGCGACGCGAGAGAGCGACCCTCGACGTCCTGCTAACTTTGAGGTACTGCGGGTATTAAGGGTCGCGCGGGGACGTATACTAACGGGGAGGCCTGCCGAGAATAGGGCACATGCGCGATTTAGACGTGGCGGCGCGCCGTCGAGAGAATTTCGAAGCGGATTTTCCGTACTCTGCAATCAATAGGACACGGAACAACTGGTTCTCCCCCGGTCGGCCTCGCGGATTTCGGGGCAGCCGGGGCGGCTGATCCAGATGCGAGGAGGAGCTGCGTGCAAGGGTTGTTTCGACGTGCGTTGCGAAATGAAACGCGTCTCTAGTTTTTCTTGCATGTGGCAGAGGATAATTAGGGATGATTTAGGTACCGATTACTGTGCCTTTCAGCCGATTTTTGCTTCGACAGGACGCTCAATTAAATGCTAGAATTTTTATTCGATGCACTGAAAATATATCTCGATTTTTCGGACAGTTTTTAGTTTAAATGTATATTTGTTTGCACGGTGAAAGTTTGTAATTTGGTGATGATAATGATTTGGTAATTTTTAATGAAATAAAAATTGCCGTTTCTCGCGCCAGAATTCCGCGCCCCTACAGGAGCACGTAATTCCGTGCCCCGTATTTCCGTGCGTGGATTTCATGCACGCTTTTTTTTCTATTGTTTCTAGTGGAAATGAGGTTAGGTTCGATCATACGGATATGTTCTAGAATCTGATCCTATTTGCGGATTTATATTAAAGATATAAAAATATGCATCATTGGTGTTTGTTTTTATCGTTGTTAGTACCCTCTTACGGCATAATATGCGTCTTATATGACGTAAATCACATTAATAATTAATTTATACTTCAAAATCTTCAGCAAGCGTTTCTTACAATTTTTAATAAGACATACTAAAGAAAATGAATTCTGAAGTAAACGTCGAACCATCAAAATCGATTATTTTTAATTTCACTGCACTGTTAAATTAAACAGTCTGTCGTAATTACTAAACCGTGGATATTCATGGAAAATAAAAATTGTCTGCATTTGTGTCAATATTGCATCTTCAATTTGCAATTTTAATTAATAATTCTGACATGTTGGAGACGATATAACAGCATTTTGAATCCACTCCTTTTTGTCATCGATGCATCAAATCTGCAGTGTAATAATTATTAGATGTACAAACGAATAATCCAATATTTTATAGGGGATTAGAGAATCAACAATAATATCAAATAATTTTCCCGTTATTTTGCGATCACGTGGTGTTGGCCGGCAGCTATATTGGAAATGACATTTTCTTATAATATTATTATTATTATTAGAGCAATAATGACAATAGATAACGTGCATATCCGACACTATATTCATAACGAATTTCAGCAAGGAGAAAAGTTAGAGAAAGTAACGGCGATTAGCGTAAACAGAACGCTTACTTATTTTTTAAATAAATCTTGAATTCTCGCCAAAGATTATTCAATCGTGCGTCTCATGCTACAGGAACATAATCCATGGAACCCACGGGACAAGAATATAAAAAAATACGGTTAACGAATGAAATCTGAAAGGTGAATTCTTAACGTGACACGATTTATTCGTTTCTAATGAATTAAAAAGACATAGGTACAGCTGCCATTGTAACAGGGCACTGAACTATAATTAACGACGATCCCGCGATTACGCGGGAATACAATAGAGTTATGGTTCCCGTTAACTCGAGGCGATCATATGAACCCGGCGAGGCGCTTCGTTCATCGATCCGGCCGTAACAAATATGTAAGTGCATATTGTTTCTTCGCGCATCGCTCTGTTCGTTGGTCGATAAGCCACGCGTTACGGAGTTTAGTGATACTTGTTAACAAGAGAATTAACGCATTTATCGACACGTTAAACGCCGCCGTGGTGGTCATACTAAACGCGCCACCGAATTATGCATAACTGTTTGGTAGGCAACCGAAACGGTTCAAATAGATTTGAAACATCGCTGTTTACAACTTTAGCTACAAGTTTTTTCTCTTTGAAAATGTACGCCGAGAGAATTGTCAATCGTTGAATAAAATTGCAGCAGTTAAAAAATTACCCTGGCGAAAAGATTATTCGACTCGATATAAATCAAGCATCTATTGCAAAAATTATTTATACATTTAATTCGCGAACTTCTTTGTTAACACGTTCCGTGCCACGTGTACCATCGATGGTATACGCTTGCATGTTTACTTAGTGAACCGAACAAATTGTTTACAAGAAATTTAGAACCGAAGAATCAATTTCCACCGCAAGAATGGGCGTTGATAAGTTTTTGTTACGTTGTTCTGTGTACGAGAATTAATAATTGCACGTAATACATCAAGTTTTAGTCAAATATCAAAGTGTGAAGATTCGAGTAAAAAAAAGCTCGGCACGGAACGTGTTAACGGTAAAAACAAATGTAACGACGGAACATTTCGGACGCAGAGAAGATAGAAGAATGCGTTAAATTTGGTTAAAACTTGTTAAAACTTGTCTATGGTACAATGATCTATTTTTCTACTTTCTCGTGTGCCAACGTTTAATCATATTTTGCTATTAGAATCTCATAAAACGATTCAGCCCTTTATCTTTTACTTCCGAAAATCAGCTGTCACTTCGATTCTGTTAGAATTTTTACGCACGGTTGGACAACGCACTGTTTTTGTATTTGACAAAGGAAGATGATCATCCTACCGTGATTTATTAATATCTTCTTTAATACACGTACAATATTAATTTCTGTTCGTAACATGTGCGCGCGCGATTCCGTCACATTCGCGAACATACTCATCGAATATCTTCTCCATCGGGATAGCTACGAAATTTTGAACCGACGCGATATAACCGTGCGAAGTGAAAATTTGCTCTACGCATAGACTAAAACGATAATTGTTCTTAAAAAACGCTTATCCCTACCGTAAGAAACAACGACGCTTTGATAATCTTTTAAAAAGATCAATGCTTAACAGCCCACAGATTTCTCGTTAAGGTTGGTCGACGATAACAGAATAGCGCTTAGAGATCGTAATAATATCTTTCGGGTGTTTCAACAGAAGATTATCAAGCTATCGTTTTTTTTGTTTTTTTTTTTAATAGAGTACAGCCTGTTAATTGAACAAACAGGCTTCCGATACATCAAAGTTATTAAGTACCTAATATCATCGATTGTGCCGGAGACGCGAATTACATCCTAACGTTGTACGACAGTCGGCGAAAGATTCGAGGCAGTTTAACAATTACAATGAATAGATTACGATTAGGTGTACATCATTAATTATAACTTACATCGATGCTTAATACTTTGGTTTCCATTTCACATTCTACCAGGTAATCTACGAACGTACTTAAGAAGTACGCAGAGCTCGACAACATCATCGACGTAATCTATTTTGATTTTCCGTATGAAAGAATAGTTCGCAGTTCCGATGAAAACCCCTTATTGCACTTTTCACACGCAGTGCATACACATATAGAAAACCAGTATACATATATAAAAGCTACACGAGAGGCCGGCACAACTCTCATCCGTCCGTAAACATTTTCGTAACGCTCTTATTTTTTCTTTCTCGCCACGTCCTCTCTTCCTAATTTATCTATCCGTCCATCTATTCTTATCCTATTTCGGCCTCCGTGCAGTTTACAATCTACGGAACGCGGCCCGCCCGCAATTTGGAAGACTATGACACTATCGTAACGAGACGCCGCGACTGGGCGCTCGGTGCAAATCTTAAATACTCCTTTAGAAAAAATAGCATGTAAAAAGGCAAGTGTCCCCGCTACGAAACCTTTTTACGCGTAAGTGCATCGTGTTTTCTTCTCTTTTTTCTTTTTAAGGCTCGAACAGTATAGTATAAATAAAGATGATTGTCATGACGGTAATTCGATATTTACAGATGATTATACGAATGAGCACAGTTTGAACGGCAACGCGGATCTGTGGTCGTGAAGAATCGCGAGAACCGTAACGTTCGCGACAACCGCGACGCCAGAGAGGCGCGTATCGCTGAGAAAAACCTCCAACGCGTTCGATCCTGAGATAAAAGGCAGAGAGATTACGAGAAGGTAAGAACCTACGAGATCTATAAAATATTGCGAGTCTCGATATACATATATATATAATAATAATAATAATATATATATATAATATAATATATATAATATATGATATATATATATATATATATA